TACAAAAAATAATAATAATCAAGAATGTTTATTACAAACAAAATGAAAACCATTTAGGATTCTCTCTTTTTCTTACTCTGATGATGATGAGCATGATCTCAACATCGGTGACCGGTTAGTTGGCTGTCTTATTCTTTTACCTTTTCTTTTTTACGTGTCTCTAACGAAGCTCAAGTAAAAAGTGAGAAAGAAAAAAAAGAGAAAAGCTTTAAGAACGGTTGTCGCAAGACGGCGAGTGCACAGTTCCAGAAGAAAACGAAGAAAAAGAAAGAAAAAAAGCGGTGGTTTTCAAATTAGTTGTAGCGATGGAAAGAAAAATGAATATTCGCTTCAGAAGAGAAACAGGAAGTGAAGTGTTAGTAGAATTTCTCATCGGAAGTCTTTCTCTTTCTTTTCTTCTTTTTTTTTCTTTTTATAAAGATTATTATAGAGAAAGATAAAAAAAATAATTCCACGAGTCCTGTTTATCTAATATTCATGCACAAGTTTGTTCGATGAAATGAAACAGATTTTGTTTTTAATTGAGCATTTAATAGATATTCTATTCTTACTTTTGAGAAATTGAATACTTCAATGATTGTAATTTGATTCGTATGTAATGATTGGAAAACTGGTTATGTTGATCATAATTGATTTGATCAGACATATGAAGATCATCATATACATTATTTTTGTCAGAATGATAGTTGTCTATTTTAGGAGATTATTTAAGTAATTAATCGAATGAAATAGATATGACAGATCTATCAATATAATATCGATGTGTAAAAAGGGCCTGTCACCACCGTGGACGAATAGATCACAGATGAAAAACTGTTCCAGATATTTCGAGGATATCCTTTTTCTATTAAAATTTTCAACAAATCCTTTATTCTTATTCATAAATCGATGATTAAAAGAAGTAGACATTTAGATTTATTGCAAACCAGATGAAAGATCTTAATATAAAAAAAACATAGCATCGTCCTTCAATAGATCAGCAAATTATTTCCAGTTGTTTACACGTCCAGGTAATACGTAACTGATAAATAGATACAAGATGTTCTTTTCTCCAATATTCTAGCTCTAAAATATATTCATCATCATCATTTAAAAGAAGCCATCAAAGATATAATAATTTGCTTACAAACTATATCTGTTTCTTATTCTATAATAGGTAAACAAACAAACATATCATAATTAGATTTTCATTCATCCTTTCACATTATTTAGATTAATTTTTTTTGAGGAGTTAGATTCAATATTTGAAAATTAATTTAATGATTATTAAATACTATCTAGCGTGTTTAATTCCTACTTCAACATGCTTAGATTTTTCTCAATGTCTAATCTGTGGGAGATGCCAAAATATTTGTTCGAAAACTTTCTCAATTAACATTAATTGAGCTACTTTAGAATGATCATCTTCAATAAGTTAATACAGTCCGATTTAATCTTATGTATTACTTGAATACATTGAAGTATTTTATAACCAATGATAGCAAATAATATACTTGAATATTTATGATCAGCTACTAAAAATAATGGCAAATAATTTCCATTAAAAATACCTTCAGGTTGATTATAAAATATTGTGAAATGAATTCAATCACTTATGGTAAACAAATGTCTAGTAATACTACGTACTATTTCATTTCGAAATAATGTTGTTACACTGAACATAAAAGAACGTCAACCAAAAGAAAACTTGTATTCGATCAATACTCGTACAAGGTTATTCAATCTTTTTCACGCTAAAGAATTTAAATCAACACTAGTTTAAAAATTATGCTAAAATAATAAATAATATTCAGATTCCAATAACAACAAGCTTCTATTTATGGTATTCAAACAAACTAGTCCAACAAAAAAATATAAAATGGTTCACAAAAATTATTCTTTCAAATTTCTAAACTCAACTATCAGCATTAATTTGACCTTATAAAAGTAGCGTCTGTGAGTATAACTTCATATAACGATATTTTAATACAAAAATAATAGTTTGCTATTATAAATCTATCAATTAATAAACATAAATTTGATTATTGTTTTCAATATTTTATTTTGATGTTTATTACAATAAGTAATACTGTTAAATATTTTGTATCTCAACTATTAACATGATAAACAAATGATTTCATTTCAACTGTGGATTCAAAGCAGTTTGTTCTTTCAAAGATTTTGAATTATCAAAATAAAACTTTTATAACCTAGATGCAAAGAAAAATATTTGAAGAATTTATGTCAATACAATGAATCGATTGTTATTCGATGCTCTAATCGTTGAATCGCATACATAATAAAATACGTCATTCAAGTTATACGATGCAGTTTTCTTTATCTATAAGCAAAACAAAGCTTTCTTAATATGAAAAATATCTTATGTCCTTGTTTAATCAAAGATAAAGAATGACGGATTCACAACCTGGAGAATATTTTTTTTTCTCAAAAATTTGCATGAAGCATTATCTTTTCTTTTTTTTAATGATCTAAGAATATTTAATGCTTGTGTGTAAAGAGGAATGAATAAAAATCCTAGAGGAGAATATCTAACAAAAATCTCCGGGGGCTTTTAAATAGAATATGGTGTTATTACCATTCTTACTCTAGCTGCCATACATAGCAAAAAGAAATAACAGATCGTTAATCAAATGTATCTAATTGAAATTCGAATAGCATAACTAATTGTCAAGTTTTTTTTTCTTTCTATCTCTATTTTTAATAATAGACTTATGGTAGAACTGTAAGTACAATAGAATTAATATAAATCATAAATGTATAGAAATCATTTTTGTTAAAATCAAGAATGACCTTTATTTGTCATCAATGTGTTAAACGGTCAGATAGTTTATTGTTTCCATTGATCGAAGAATAAAGGAAGCGAATGTAATTGATAAACGTAATACATTTTTACCGTTCTTTATTGAAACAATTAGAATAATGAAAGGACTCGCTATAGAAAAAAAGATTATTGTTCGACATCATTTTTTTACACATATTCAATTAGACTAGTATTTGATTTGATTGATCAGTCTCAGTAGCAACTATTTATTTATTTATATGAAATCAAGATAAAAAAACATTATTTTTTCAAATTAAGTGACAATAAAAAAAAGCAATTGAATAGTAAATAGATTAAATCAGTTTTTCATTCATTGATATTCCCTTTTTCTTAGTTTGACACATCGAAAGTAAAAGAAAATTTCTACTATCATCGTCCTTGTTAGCATTTATCAAATTATTTCTTATTGTTACGTAAAGATTATTATGAATAATAACAATGAGAAGATTGTGGCAAAATGATTTCGATCAAGAAAGAAAACAGTTGTGTATCGATATCTTATTATAGAAATCTAATTTTTGTATAATGCTCTCAATTGGTTTAAACGCGGATATCAATGTTAAGACAAAAAACTACAATAAAAGTAGAGATCATCAAAAATTTCCGAATCAACAACTCCGAAAAATTAATTGACAGTAGAGACGATGGATGCCAGATGTAAACAGCAATTAATTACTAACGAAAAGTCGTTCTTCGAAGCCATTAAAATAACGCATCGTTTAATTGACTGAATAGATCAGATGGAAAAAAACAAACAAGGTACATAGTTCTCATACAAGAAATCATGATTATATTTCTATTCAAATATTTTTAATAATTATCCATACACATTGAAACATAATGTGTAACTTTTCTTAAGTTATAATTCATTAAAAATGATCACCATGCATTTATCTAGTATCTCTAAGTCGAAATCTTCAACAATGGTACTAATTATCGTATTATCAAGTATATTTTAGTTACCATGTTAGTAATTTCTTTTGTTTTGTCTCAGATAGACGTCATAATCAAAGCTAAATGTTTCGATATTCTTCAAGTTTAAAGCAGCACTTTCATTTCAAATATAGAGAAAGCGATTTTAATTTTCTTTTATTCTACTTCGATAGAGTTTATTTAAAAAAAATTATTTTAATTCTCTTAGAGGTGTGCAACTTCGTTAAACATGCAAACAGAAAGTAACCAGACAATTATTATCACTGACTAAACAAGGAAACAAAGCGAATAAACATCTACACAGAATAGAAGCCCACCCTCTGGGTTAGATTTCTCCGTTGAGAATCAAGATTTACTTCATGAAAAATGAACTAAAACCGATGAAAAATGACAGGATAAACATTTCTCTATCAAATAACGCAAAAGCTGGCATCAGGACATGCATTGTTACAAAATTATAGCTTGTGGAACACAGACACCACCCATGGGCTTCTATTCTGTAGGGGGGTTTATGAGCAATTCTATATGGTACAAAACATTTTAGTTCGTCATCAATAAGATCTTGGTATGGTGAAAACATATGAAAAAAAAGTCTGTATTATTAGAGGATTATTTTAATAAAATGAATACAGCAACATAGCAATATGATTTAGTTATCATTATCTGTTCAACAAATGATTTATGTTCTCATTGAAAGTTGTGTATGTTTTCTGGTCATAAAATGATGTTGAATCCAAAATGAATCGATAAAACAAAGAATTCAATTATTCGCATTTTGTTTATTAAATAAGACCAAAACTTGAAATAAAATATGACACATTAGCTATTTAAAATGAACTACTATGTTGTCGTATTAGTGCATGGTATGTCCATGGAGAAATCGAAAAAGAAATTCAAATGCTTCTATCTAGAGACATTCATTCGAACAATCTAGCGATTATGATACTCATTTATTCGTATGTAACCCAAGTTATTTTTCATCATATTATATTGATTGCGTAAGCTATTTTTCATGTTCGTTTTCTTTCGAAAAGATTCATGAGAGTAGAAAACGAGCTAATTTCATTGGATAATAAAGGAAATGTCTCGCGACTATTACATCGTTACGCTTCAAGGTTTCCTTCTCTTTTTCTTTTTTCTCTACCTATCAGGTATATATGCATAGTCATATATTGCATAAAAACAAGTTCTACTTATTAGTTACAATCGCAAAACAAAACATTCAAAAGCATAATTAACAAAAACGATGGACCGATTTGTTGATAAAACAGTTGATGTCCTAACAAGATTCGGTGAACATCTTGAACGACGCTTTTCAAATGACCAAAGTGATAATACATATATAAGATCGTCAAGTTCAAATATTCTGTATCCAGGTGATAACTCCGCTTTTCAACGTCCTTTCGACGATAATGATCGGAAAAGTGACATATACTCATCGCAACGACGCAATTTAAGTTACGGTGGTGCAAGAAAATATTCTTCGGATAATTTAGTAGCTAGTCCCGGGTATGAAAGTTTCAGTAATTATCGACAAAATCCAATGGCGAATACACATATGGATGATGTAGATAGAGCACTATACGGACATCGTATTGACGGTCGAAGAAAACAGCGGCATAACTTAAATTACGGTGCCTATCCAGAAGTGTATACTACAGATCCATCATCGAATTCGCCGTACGGATTACATTCAGGCAATGTAGGTTATGCTCCTAACTATTATATTGCAGAACGTCGAGAAGTCGAATTAATCCCCGCTCCTGAACCACGTATTATACGACAACAAGTACCAGTTCCTTTTCCAGTTGATCGTCCCGTGCCTCAACCTTATCCCGTTGCTGTACCAGTACCCTATCCAGTTGATCGACCTGTCCCTGTACCTGTAGCAGTTCCATCACCACCAGTTTGTGTCCCTGTTCCAACACCTACTCCATGTTATGTACCTGTTGCTGTTCCTGTCCCATCACCACGAGCAAGTCCTGTCATCTTTGAACAGTCAGTTACTCATTCTCAACGTTGGATTACTGGATCGCCAGTCATGATGAATCAACAACGGTATGCTGTTGGTACACCAGTCATGATGAATCAACAACGGTATGCTGTTGGTACACCAGTCATGATGAATCAACAACCGTCGGCTGTTGGTACACCAGTTATGATGAATGGACAACCGTATTTTCCTGGTTCACCTGCTGTGGGTATGAATGGATATGCGTCATATGGCAATGGTTCGTTCCGTCGTTAATCGTTTTGCTTTACATAGTATTCTACGTACTATTTTTTTTCAGAAAAAATAAATGAAAGCTTTTATATAATTAATGGCTACATATCTATGAACATTTCGTTTTGCGAGATTAAAACAAATAGTCTAATATTTAGAGTCGTCTATCTACACCTTCAACATATTGAGATAGAAGGGATTATAGAAATGTAATATTAAATTGTCTGGAAACAAAAATCAAAAGTAACATCGCTATTCAATTGATATGTTGAAATATTTGATTATTTAAAAACAGTAAAAGACGTAAAGTTATCGAGAAGATTGTACAGATGTGAGAAAATGTAATCTTTTGAAATTTATTCTAGTTGCAATTTTTATTCAAAATTTGTTTCAGTTATATTTTGAACAAAAATGCACAAATGATGGAACAAAAACAAATTGTTTTTTCTTCTTTTATTTCTTTCTTTCTTAATTGTTAATTATAACGTTAATCATGTACTTTTGCCTTTTGGTTTTATTTCTTTCACATTGAGACCAGGAGGTAGTGATTGTTTGACTTTTTCAGCTTTTTCTTTATCAGTCACAATTACTGAAAATATAAGAAAAATAGGATACAAATGAATTGAAATCGAAATTGATCAATACACATACAAGTATACAAATAGCGACTGCATCGAACTTTAAATTTGGTATTTCCTTGACGAGTACCATGTTCAGGATTACGCTTAATAATCACTGATTTAGCATCTTTTCGTCGAGCAACGAGTAAGAAATCTTTGATGTCTTTGATTTCTTTTGGCATTTCGATGATTAAAATGTGAGATGAATGGAGATCTGAAACAAATGAATAGTTTTATTGTAAAGTATTCATGTAAAATAAGTGACAAAACGAAAAAGAAATGGATTTGATATCCATATTTAACCCAATAGAATAATGTTCGAATCTGAAGATATACATATATGTACATTAATCAATAAAATGTGATTTTGAAAATATATTTTAAAACTGAAATTTATTCTGAAAACTTTTTCAATAAGAAGAAATATAGAAAAATAATAGAAGCTGAGAAATATGTCGCTAGTTGTATCCACGTAACAGCCATTCATACCGATTGGTTTTAGCATACAGGAATGAATTATTCAAAAGATGAATCAAGTTTTTTGCTTTGATCTACCAGCTGATACCAACAGCATATTTTATCATTTCTGAGAATGATCTATTGATGTACTTGTTGGCATTACTTCATACACTGAATCAAACAAAATACTGACCAATCAGGGCGATCAGACATAGTTTACTATATTGCTGTATCATCTTAACATCGTAATCATGTGGCGCTTTTGTTCTAAGCCTTAATCTTTTCCAAGATATCATCATTCTGAATGATGATGTAAAAATAGTGTTTATGTCTAATTCAAATATAATGAATATTGATCAAGTTGTTCGAAGCGACAGCGAGTTAGTATATGTTTAATTAGTTGTTACAGAAATAAGTCGAATGCTGACTAAATTTAATCTCTCTGATGATCATTCTAGTTATTCTCGGCTTTGTGAAGAATGTTTTGACACTCAGTATTAAATAACACATAGCATTTCGAATTCGAATAGAGTACTATGTCGAGTTGAAACCCTTTTGCACCTGATTATCTAGATACTGGAAATAATGCATTCTCTCAGGCTACCGAGTACTGTATAAATGAGACGATGGAACTGAATGAATCAGACATGAAAATTTCGAGTCATAATCATATCAATATATTCGATTTTCCCAACGAAATTTGATTCATTATTTTTAACTAATTGAATTTGGTCGACTATTACTTGACGGTTTGATCAATTAGTACATGATTCACTTTAGTTGCGTTATCTTAAGATGGCCTCTATGACGATGAAATCACTTTCTGACCATAGCTACTCAATAGACAATCACGTCCTTACGTTAGTAGAATTTGTAAAAATATCTTACCTAGAAGATATCGTCAGGTAAATGAACTTATTGTTGAACAATATTCAATGGGATGCGTTCTTTGTACAATTCACTATCTTTAACTTTAAACTATTTAGACTTTAATACAATAGTGAAATCATTAGAAATAAACTAATAATTGTTTATTTGTTTTGTTTTGCGAATTGAAAGTAATGCAATTCTTGGCAAACTTCTCATTGAACAAATTACATGTCTTAAAGTTGATGTTAAGGATGAGCAACAACTAATCAAGTTAAGTTTTTGCCGATTGCATGATCGATCAATGCTCCGTACTTTTGTGTTACCATCAACAAATTTCAACTCTTCAATTTTGACTACACTGAAAATGAATATGAAAAGTTTTGACGATTGTCTTTTTCTACTTGATGGATGTTTCAATTGTTTATCAACATTTATTATCGATGTAAAAATAATTGCATATACATTAGGAACTATCAATAACCCGGCTAGTTTTATTGTCAATAGTTTTGTTTAGAAACAGAACAGCGAACTCGAGAATTAAACAAACTTAAGTTGATTTCTTTTTTCATAAAAAAAACTTCCCAGGTTGCAATACTTTATTAACATCGTATCCACATATACTTTTATATGATACTCTAATTATTCCACTTATTCGACAAAGAAAAGGTTTTGATGATCTGATATTGTATCTGTCAAAAATAAGAAGTAACATGAATTATATTGATGATATTCTAGGTTATATACCGCGATGAAATAAATTTACTTTCAATATAGACACAAATGTAGACAAGAAGAATATTGAAATTGCTTTTTTTTATCAAATGAATATATCCAGCGGAGTTTGAGAAGAATATATAATATGGAGTAGTTGTTTCAAATGTTGAAACTTTCACAAGAGAACACAAACATAGATGCTTCATCTATTCATTCCCATATCTATTCAAAAGTTTTTATTATGTAAGCAATTCTTTTCAAGGTGGCATATTTTATAACGTTCAACGCTTGATGATGACAGACTTACGATCTTTTGAACATTACTCGACATTAGTTCTTCAAAATCATCTCTTAAATTTCTTCTCTATTGAAACAGTTGTATATCATTAATGAGCGACCACAGACTAACAAGCAGCAATCGATACAATTCATCCATCTTTTATGCTGCCCATGCAGATTATACTGAACAATTTATCATCGAGAAACACTATCATTTACCCTGTTTGCTGAACCTTCATATCGGTTATGAATCATTTATTGTGATCACAAACAATTTTACTAACGATACAAGACGTGTCACTTGTGCTAAATTAACCAGTCTTCGTATAAGGGAGCCGTTAATTCCTCCAAAAAAACAAATTCGCATCTATTATTTCCTTTATTGTAAATATTAGCTGTGTTAAAATTTGTGCTAATAAAATTAAACAGCGAGAAGGCTAAATATACTTTGATCCTGCTGCTCAATTTAGATAACATGGACACAAGAAGAAAAACAAATTGTATTCTTATATTTCAGTAAAGAAGAGTTTGATTGTTATTTATTTATCTTTTCAAAAATAAGTCTATTCATCGCCTTGGATGTATCTATTTTACTCATACTAGTACAATATTGTGCAGTACGGCATGTGCTACATTTAAGTTGTGCATCAAGAGTATCAATACTGTTGTGTATTAAACACACGCACCGTAGCAATGTAAACATTTATTGATATAATTTGAATATTGTGTTGTCAGCATCACAAAAAGCAAATAAATATTTTTTGACATATTATTCTGTTTTCATTAATTTTTCCACCATCTTTCAATGTTTATCAACAGAAAAAAATCAGCTACTGATACAGATGATAATGGAATATTATATGACAGCGAGGTTCTTTATTTTAAGTACTCTCAATTCAACATAATACTCTATCATTCCTGTATGAATGATAAAATACTTTTTAGTAAGCAAAATTCGTAAAACAAAGGTCGAAGTCGAGATTACACCCTCAAGAGTTCATAACTAACCAATTTCATCATGTGCTGGTTTTATAATCATTCCATTCGATGGAAAATCTGAATCCCTATCCTACGAAAAGTAAATGTTGATATAGTTATTGCTATTACTTCTTTTTGTGCTTGTATACGTAATTGACATTGAAATCAATTTGTTTGTTTGTTTGATTTCGAAACGAAAGTGAAATCGAAATTTTTACTTTTTGAACATCTCGTAAACATTCTGTTGTATATAATATTAAATAAACTTTTGCCTAATCAGCATCATACTTTTATTAATAAATATAATTTCAATAATAATAATGAAAACTTTTTCAAAAAAATTTGAGTTTTGATAAAAGAAGTAGGTGTTTCTTTGTTAGAGAAATCTTTTCTTGCTTTCGATACGTGCTGCTTGAAATGAATAAATAAATAAACATAAATACAAAATATGAGCGAAGACACGTTATTAAAAAAGAGACCAAAGCGAAGGAACAACAGTTTCTTTGGACCAATCGAAGAACCAACAGTTCCCAGGTGAAAACCTACGGTACGTATGCGCAGGAGCCGCGCGAGCGGGGGGGGGGTCTGGGGGAGTGTACACCACCCCAATAATTGGAATTTTTTTTTTCAGCAACCAGAGCAGATTTGGACCGAATTTTGTGTTTTTTTAAGAAATTTTGCTCTAAGCACTCCTTTACACCGTTTACGACGCGTTGACGGATCGCATTTGGCTGTAATATCTGGCGCAAGAAAAACAGACAGTATTTCAGTAAGGCTACGGTTGTATACATTGATAGCACGGCATCGTTTACAGCACTATATTAATGTGCCCGAAATCACCGACTATTTCAGGCTATTTATGGAGTTTAAATGGTCACATTTGACAACGTTACGGTAAAAATACGGATAGCTGTATTCATGGTCTTGGGTTGTTTTGCATGAGAAGGAATTCTTGTCGACTGCCAATTCTATGGTTCCCAGGTCGAACATTCCGGTCACCGGATCCCGTAGGATACTTCAGGGAATATGCGGGAAAGTCACCATATCCTGCAGGAAAACACGGGAAATCACTGGAACGTGGAAGCAGTATTCTGGTCAAAAATACGGTCGGACTTTTCCGGAAAATTCCTGCCAAGTTCCGGTGCTTTCCGGCAGGAATTGATCGGAAATCACCGGAAAAAATGCGAAAAATTTCCAACCGGAATGCTGCTTCCACAAAATCAACGGAACTACCCGGAACCGGCCGTTTCCAGGCCGGACTGTTCGACCTGGGTTGTTTGATGTTGTTCTTCATCGGCCTTGTAATTGCTTGATTACAATAAGGGGATTGAGTTTCCTTCTTGCGGACACTATTTCTCTTTTGAGCCTGAATCTTCTTTATCTTTTACTTAATTTCTACTCTAGTAGAGGTTTAGCAGCCTTTTTGGTTACTAAGTAATTGTTTAGATTATCTAGATTTATATTGCCTAAAATGACTTTTTTAGTACAAATGGCTGTATCTAATGTGTGAGTGTAGATGTTCTTTTTACCATAGTCGTAGCCATCCACACGCAAACTCCATGAGACGTCTTTCGTATGCCAGATTCCATGGCCGAGCATAAACACTCCGCATTAACAAAATATAAAAGACAGTGCTACACAGTAGTTTTTAATGACGAATGATAAATTAAAATATATATGGACTGAGTAAGATACATTAAAATATAATCATAAAAAGTCTTCAGTGTTCCTATTGTTTACTATTAGGCCTTGATTCTCATACATTTATTGGGTATGAGAAATCGTTTGACGCATACATTAGGTGCACAACAATCGAACACTTTAAATGCACAACTGACACAGCCATTTGTACTGGCACGTCGTTGATGTGAGTCATCATCACTGTCACTGTCACTGTCACTGTCATCTTCAGCTGCCATCATACGAGCCTTAAGTTCAGCCAGTGCTGCTTCGTCGTCGTCACTATCGGCAAACATACGCTTTCCATCGATCGACAAAGCAAATAATATGGTACCCAGAAGACCGAATACTAGAAGTGTACTGATTTGCATTCTTATCTTATATCTAAAATTACAAACAAAAAATAGTACAGATCTGTAGATTGACAAAATTGAAATATGACTTCGGGAACAGCTTCTAGAATGCTAAGAAAGTAAAAGTTAATTTGATAGATTGAGAATTAGAAGAACCACTTTAGTTTGCTTGAACAAAATGATTGAATTATTTTAGAATTCGTTGAGCTCGAAAAAACACGAGCTTTGCAGTTGATTTTTATAGCGTCGAGAACAGTTTAAAAGATGTAGCTTTACAAAGTTTCTTCAAACATTTACTTGACTGTTATGTATTCCAATATCGTACGAAAGCACTCAAAATGCTTGTCGTGCAGTTCAAAAAAGATTTCACGATATTTGACTGATCGTTGTTGCATTGGAGAGGAATTCGTCGATTTTTATATGACGTTTCACTTACCTTTGGCTACTATGAATAGTTTATAAATGATTACTCTGTGCATAGCAATCAGTTATTCTATCGTTTCGCTGACAGTCAAAAAATGAATCTAGAAATGATTAGTATTCTTGTGCATACAAAGATATTTATAGATGCGATTAGAGTATCGTTTTTGCCCATTATAATTTACCTTTCTTTACCTGAGGATTCATTGTGTTTATATGGACAGAATATACATTTGTGCATTTTTAATGAATACATTATTAAGTATACAATGTATTTCCAATGAATGGTTCTGAATAGAGTACTTTGAATAGAATTATTCATCTAATCATTTCGTGCCACCGATTTGCTAAGTAATTTGTGCCCACGATACTGTAAATAAGATGAAAATGATTCACATGCCGATTATAACATTATTGTATTCAAGGATACATGGAATATGCATGAATAAGCGGACTGTTTTACTGCAGGTCGCAATTCTCGATACCTTGTACAAATCAAAGAAAATGTATCTCTGACAAAAAAAATAATTGGTCCTTACTGATCTTTACTAATTTAAAAAATAATGAAGATGTGAATTAGATTTCTCGTTGACACGCTTTACTTCCACTTTCTCGCTTTTCATTAATCTGCCTAGCAAAACGAAAAAGAACAGAACAAAGAAAAAACAAGACCATGACTCCTAAAATAACAGGAGAATGAACCAAAGAAAAAAGATAGAAGATCATCAAATGCATTTATCTCCTATCCTAACACCTTCTTCTCCACGACAGATGAGTGCCCCATCGATTCAGCGATTGAACGTGCGAAAAAAAGTAAAAGAAAAAGAAAACAACAACATAACAAAATGACGAAGAAGAAGAAAAAAATAGCAATCATAGAAACAGGCTAAGTAATTAACGTGTAGTAACAACAAGTAACGCTCGTCGCTTAGACTCGCTTGGTCCTCGACGGTATGTTGTGCTTTTTAGATATAATTTACTATTTGCCAAATTTCAACAACACTACTCTCCATTATTTGAAAAAGAATGGATATGGTTTTAGACCCTGACATAAAAATTGATGCTAAATTACCGCATCTTATACACATTTTCACTCTTCTTTCTGTCCTAAATTCATCTGATAACACTGTGACTTAAGGACCAGCAGATCGCTAAAATTGGTACAATGCGTACAATATCATGCTAATACTAATCGTATAGTGCATACAAGCAGGGTTGCCAATTGCATAGACAGAGGAATAATAATCTTATGATGCCTGAATCCGCACCTATCAAGAATGATACCACTTAAGATGTTTCGATCAGCCTGAAAATTTCAGACATGCGTGGCCGCATTAAAGAGCAACCACAGTACAACTTTCATCGTGATTTATCAAAGTAGACATAATCTACAGCTAATGCATAGTTGGATTCTATTATTTCAGAGAATCATTGTAACTTCGTCATCAGAGAAGACGTAAAACTCACGACCACTTAAAAGTGCAGTTAGCAATATCGCCAAAGTTTGTATCAAACAGAGTTTTTAACTCCGTTTCCACTCAATATTTATGGTTCTTTTACTGTGCATCACAAGAGAAAGGACTTATAGTGAGCTATAATTTAAAACTTTAAAGCAAAATACAAGAAGTCGTGTCGAACCTGTGGAGAAAGATTTCAATTTTCGTGATCGAAGCTACTATTTGAGCAAGCTGCGAAATAATAAAATGATGAATATACAAATCAGATAGTTGTAAAAAAACACTCTTTCTCAAGACGGCAAAAAGCTACATATTCTTGAAAATAATGACTCTCCTGAGTGCTTCGAAGAAGCTAAACCTTCCGTTGAATCGATGACATCGAAAACAATCAGGATATGATTCCCATTGAATGTAGTTCCCCGATCAGTGACCCCTAAAAGTAATTTATCCTTGAATTCAATTTAACACTCGAATTCGATGATACTTTTGAACAATTTTGAAATCACTCATGTCTTAGATCTATTTTTAACAAAGAGTGCTCCGTGACCATTTCTGAGAACCTGCATTGAAGTAAAAATCGTCACTCTCAGCATCAAGTATCATCATACAGAAAGCCAACTCTTATTTCAATACCGAACACTTCCCAGCTGAAATAGATTCGAAATACCCCCACTAGAAACTAGACAGTTATCAACGTATCTTAAAATGATGCTAGGCGTACGCTTTATCCCTGAACAAAATTCAGCTGATTGCTGAATGATTCTTTACTAGGGGTGGCACTTGAACTATAAATTGACCGTAAAGTGCAGAGTTTAAAGTTGTTTAAAGTCACACTTAAATTCTTGTTTTTGACGTTTTATCTGTTGCAGAGACTCTCATAAGCATGACTAAATACGTTAGTACAGTAAAAAGTATTAAAAAGAAGCGTTTAAAGGCGACTTTAAACGACTTTCTACTTTACGGTTAAGATAAAGTTAAAGTGCCACGACTATTCTTTACAATCTCTAAGACACTGTTTTTCCGGGAAAATCAAAGACAAAACTTCCATAGCCAAAATTAAGTACGACTCCCGAGAACTCGATTTTCTATGGTGAAACTAAATACAATATAAATATCTTCCAAAACACATCCCGTCCTAGAAATTTCGTTTCGAGATTTTCAAAAACCGACTTCAGATTCGGATTCCCCGACCCCGATAACCTTAAAGAAAGTTAGATGAAAAGACGGTTAAGCTTAAAACGAAGGAAAGCTCGTATGATGATTTTTTTGACCTGCCACAAACAGACAGACAGATAAACGCATTTTTTTTCATATGACCCTCCCTACCAGAGCATCAACCAGGCCGTGTTTTTGTAGGCCTGGCTGGTCCGTGACAGGCCTTTGCATTTCAAGCCTGTCTGTGCCTGCCAACTAATTTGCTTGGCCTGGCCTGCCTGGCAATTTTTTTAATGCTAATACCATTACGAGGATAGAATAGAAACATATAATTAATATTGAGAATGAAGAAAGCCAGTTTAATTAATTTAATATGACTAGATTAAGCATTTACTTAGCGAAGTCCTCATACAGAAAATGAGGAAACATCGGATTTGCATCCGATTGTTGTGTATTGCAAAAACTGAGTCGATTTATATATGTTTTGAATAATTCTGAGAAAAAAAATTTTGTTTTTGAAAAAAATCTCTGTACTCCGCCTCAAGGATGGTCTGGTCAATAATGACAATTTTTTCGATAACTCAGCCATTTCTTGACGGGTCCTTCTCATCATCGAACTCGACTGAGATATTGATGAGATCATTCTGTGTACAAAATTTCATGATAATTGGATGAGGCTTTCAAAAGTTATCCTGTTAACGGGCGGGCACACTGACCGAATCTAGGGTGTACTCTTTTTTTTTTGAGTGCACAAAAAGAATACATCAGAGACAGCATGGTATAACATTAAGAAAAAAAGTTTTGTTTTTCTTCAAGAATGTCTTGAATGTATCTCACAAAGAGAATACCATTTAAAAATTAAGGATCCAAAGAAGAACGGCGTTTTGTTACAGCTAGTCCAGCAGATAAATGAAAACACAACGAGCCAATGGAGAAAGAAAACGAACTATGCAATTTGAACTGAACATTAGTCATCATTTGGATCAATCATAAATGAACACAGAACATTATTCTATACTGCACATCTGATTATTAGCGCCACATTCAATTAAAAACGTTTATATCAAAAATAAAATTATAAATCTAAAGAATAGAGACAGACCAGGCGGTCTGGTGTTTGTAAGCTGTCTGCCTGCCTGTGACAGGCCAGGCCTCAAGGCCATGGCCTGGTTGATGCTCTGCTCCCAGTCGAGGGAATTATCAATTGTTCTAGTTTAATAATGTAAAAACAATTGAATTAGCTAATGAAAATACAATGCTAGAATGGATTCAAGATTCTGCACTCTAGGTTGGTATTGATGCAAGTTAATTTGCTTTTCAATCATACACTACTGGTAGTCTCCTTGTATTCAATTATAATATTATTCATACAATGTTTTTAATTATTTAGGTGCGTATAGTGATCCAGTTTGTTCGAAAGCAGATATTGATCATGTGGTAAAATATTGAATCGTCACTGTGATATTCAACGATATAATTTGGTTTCCATTTAGCTTCAACTTGTTGGTTATAGTATTTATTCAGGTAAACCCAATTTGTTATGTAAAAATACTTGGGGTAAGAGTGAAATTCAATGCGGATAATTCTAACTCTATGCTTAGGTGCAACTTGGGGTGATCAAGGATATATTCGTATTGAACGCGGTACGAATACATTTGATATTGCTGAATATGTTGCATAAGTTGAATTTAAAAAGAATGATGCTGTACGATCAATCACGGTCAATTATTTCTAATTAGTAGTATTCTGTTTTGCTTTACATTTTTTTCAAATTTGTAATAAAGAAAGTCCATATTCGATAGAGAAAACAACCAAAATTTGAAGATTGATGTTTCATCGTTCTGTACGGAAGCTGTTAGTGCAATACCTGTTGGATTAAAATACACGACTTCATGGGGTATTTGAATTTGCGGCAAATTCGAAATGCTTATACCGCTATACCGCTATAGAGTTACAGCGGTATAGCGGTAGCTAGGTGTCACGTATCCCTTACAAAGACAGAGAGACAGGAGAGAAGGTACCCCCACACGCACCCTAGACACCCCTCCCCGTAAACCCACACTAGACACTCTTCTCCGTACGCTCACACTAGACACTCCTCCCCGTACACCCACACTAGGTACCCCATCGCATGGTATAGTAGTATAGCGGTATACTGCTTATACCTCTATACCACTACAGTTTTATTTTGTCACAAATAGAGATGATTTTAATGAATTCGATTTTGCCGCAAATTCATATTCCCCATCATTTTAAATACACTGTAACAACAACCATTGATAGTCCCTAGAATGTTATCTTATACCATCTATAATATGAGGCACATCCTTGAACTTAATCCTCCAGAAATGTTATAAGGAAGCAATCCATTCATTATTAAAAAACACATGTCACATGGCTGCATGTCAGGGCCTATGGGACGATTGGATTCTAATCTCTAACTATGAACACTTCTTTTACTCAATGACCTATTGTAACTATGTCCTATTTCGTTTTATAGCGGTTTGAAAATTACTTAGTCCTGATACAGTTTTCGAGCCTTGAGTTACTATCGAATTGATCGTATGTGATTGAAAAACGATAGTATCGAAGATAGAAGTTTAGTGCTTATTAGATAACATGCAATAAGTTGGTTTTCGAAATAGGGTCAATTTCCATAGCAAATCGTCCCGCGTGGTTTTCCAGATGTAAGTATGTTTATCCATAAATATTTTCAAAAGTTGCAATTCTGTTGCATTCTTCAATGAAATTTCTGAGAATACACGGCGAACAGTTTCAAATAACTTCGATGCTGTACAATATCATTGTTAAACTCCGTTATCTTTGTTTTTTTTTGCATAGCATTGATTGCTAGATTCTTTCTATGCAAGAATTCATACAACACAATACTATTTCTATTAGTAAATCCCGCTCGAGAATGCTAAACAATATGCATCATATTAATATTAATATTTCTATACTCGAGAACAGCACTGCCCGTGGTGAAAATAATGATAATTATAATGAGAAGCTTTGTTGATAGAGGTTTCGCTGCTTGGGAATACAAGCATCCAAGAAGTAAAACCGATATTGCGCCGATTGAAGCCGAAACATCGAGTGTGGATTGAACGAATATTTCGCTGAGAATTATTAAAGAAAATTTATTTGCATTATTGGCAACCATCATAGACGTTGCAGAGATGAGTTTGTTAAGTGCGAATGCAGACACACTTAACGAAAATCCAATTATGCCAGAAAATAAAATTAAACCAATTAGTTGTATTTGGAGTATTTTTTTCAAATCAAAGTTTGAGAACTCTCCCATAGTACCGGCACATATTACGAGTACAGGTAAAGAAATCAAATTATTATAATACGACATACCAATGGATCCCATGTTCTCGAAAATAGGTAAACGAATGAGTTTTTTCATATATATTTGGTATGAGCTTGTTCCTACAATGTTTACACCTAGCAATGCGTAGCCTCGAATACTGAAAGTTAGGTCATGCTTTGAGTACAACATTGCACCTAATAGCATTCCAAGCAAAGAAGCAGTCGAAAATCCATCAATCTTGTTGCTTAGGAAGAAATACTCGAGAATCGCAACGCATAGAGTTGTTAAGTTCCGTATCACAATTAAAGTTGGTACACTTACATACATCAATGCTAATAGACTTGACATGAGCATCGTCACAAATAATAAAACTAATGGTATCCATAATTTTACAATGTTTAAATTTAATTCTGGTAAAGATCCCAATGTCGGTTGAAACATTCGAGAAAACAAAATCAATAAAATAACGGCAGCACTATTTTGTATTACCAAAAGTAAGCTAGCATGTGGGAATGCCACTACTATAATTTTGTTCACTAATGTTAATAATGTTCCCGATGCACAGTATACGAATAACGAGGAAATTGTTTTAGAACTGCTAATGCAATTTGTATTACAGCAGATATCATTGTCGTTACTCATCCTATAAGTAAGTGAAAACAAAATAGGATGATACTTTCTCTCTCGCTTTAGGAAGGTTTTCGGTAACAATAAGGCATTTTCTTGGGATTGGCACAAAAAAAAAGAATATAATAAACCAATTACCGAAGAGCAATCAAAATGAAGCATTGTTTGAAGATTTTATCAACTTTGTACAAAGAAACTGATAGATTAATTTTCTTGGACATAAAAAGATTCATATTTGGAAAAAAAGTTGAGCCTTGTGTCTCATGTCTAGATATTACCTTGTCTCTATCTATGATTTGAAAACTCGTGAGACTTCACTAGATATTCTTGAAAAAACCAAGTTTCTTATATGTTTTATATTCAACGGAAAAATTGAAACGCTAAAATACTCAAAGCATATTACATGTGCTTTTAAAACTTCTCGCAAAGAAGTACATTCAAATCTGAAGATGTCTGACTAGGCGAGCGTTATTTTAGTGCAGAAAATGAAAATTCCGGCATGCTCATCAAAAAATTGTGAAACAATTAGAAAATAGGCATTAATGATAGGCTCGGGTCACGTTCTTTTGGAACCGAACCAAACCGAACTGAATCAAACCGATTCAAAAAAATTCAAAACTAAAATGAAGGGGAAAAGGTAAGCACGTTTTTAGCTTCTTGCCAATCTTTTTTGTACACCAACAATGATTTAAAGCATTTTCATTCGACGTTCAGTGCAGAATTTTACGGTTTTCGTTTTCGTATAACGGCACTTATTCTTATATCAAAATATTAAATATCTATTAGAAATAATTACAAACTATTAATAAAACTTTGCTTTTTTTTCACCGTCCAGCTATTCCATGAGAAAGAACATTAAAAACTTTTGCAATTCTTACTTCCAAATAGGCCATGTTAATTAGATCTTGCAAATGTTGTCAGTTTTAGCTTGTCATCGTTCTCACTATTTTTAAATTTCAAATGTGGAACAGACCTTAAAATCTGAAAAAACACAGTATTTCGAAAACAAGACTTCTTGTTTCAAAATATACGTTCCTAATCCCAGTAAATTATTCTTTTTAAATGTTGCAAATACTTTCAAAATTACGAACTGTAAAATCACAGAAAATTGCTGGAAACGATGACCTAAATTACTTCTTAAAACTTAGGGAGTCTATGTAATTTCATCAATTGTATATTTGCCGTTGGCGAACTTCCTCAAGAAATTCGCCAATTGGTGAATTACTAGTGAGGCATTCGCCAATAAAGAAAATATTTTCGTATTAATTTGTTCGCCAATTGGCGAAACGAGAAATTCACGATAAGATATTACTCCTTTTCGAAAGTTATTGTTTTTTCAGTCCAAAGTTCAGTTTCATATTTGAAATTTAAAAATAATGAAAACAATGACAGGCCAAAACTGACAACACTTGCAAGATCTAATTAAGATGGTCTAGTTGAAAAGAATAATTTGCAAAAGTTTTTAATGTTCTTTCTTATGGAATAGCTAGAAGTTGAAAACAAAGCAAAGTTTTATTAGTAGTTAGTAATTATTATTAATAATTATTAAATATTTTGATATTAGAATATGTGCCTTTATACGAAAATGAAAGCAGTAAAATTCTACACGAACGCCAAATGCCTATCATTTGCCACAAATTCTGATGCCACAAATCTATTGCTGAAAACATTCACAGTTAAAAAAAGAAATTAATCTACTTTGGTGACTAGGAAGGTACTTCCATTTAGAGATTTCTTGATTTAAGGACTTGTTCACTAACAGATATTTCAATCTAAGATTTGTCCTACTCATACCAGTCACACTTCACACTTTAATGTGCGCATTTCTTTTGGAAATCGAGTGCAATCAATACTTTCTTTTATTAAGACAGGCACTGGTTAGGGATGCACCGAGACCGAGACAAAACCGAGAGTCTCGGTCTTGGTCCAGATCTCGGTCACCAATTTGACTTCATTCGATCGAAATATGCTTCGTCCTGACCTTCCTTGCGCTTTATTTTGTTGTGGATGTCAGTTTGGAGTAGGAATTGTGAGATGTGAGTGCTGGTAACAAAACAACACGTGTTAATATATCATCAATAATTAACGCATATGCACGTATGCATCCTAGATGACAGCAACACCTCGTGGAGTGATTATTTGTAACCTAGGCCGACATTTAATGATATCAGACCGAGACTCACCGAGACCGAGAACTCGGTCTCGGTATATACATAGCACTGGTCACCAGTTTTTCCTAAAATAATTATAACAGCAATGATTTCTTTCTGAAACAAATTCTATCTAGTGACCAGATTATGCTAAAACAGCTCAAACTCATTATTGATTCATTCTGAAAAAACAATAACTGGTCACAAGGTAGAAGTATTTCAGAATGAAATTATTGCCTGTTATAGTTATTTTAGGAAAAACTGGTTGCAGATGCCTGCTCTAATAAAAGAAAGTAGCGATTACACTCTATTCCCAAAATAAATGCGCACATTAAAGTGTGAAGTGTGACTGGCATGAGCAGGACAAATCTTATATTGAAATATCTGTTAGTGAACAAGTCCTTAAATCACGAAATCTCTAAATGGAAGTACCTTCTTAGTCACCAAGCTAAATTTATTTATTTTTTTTAGCTGTGAATGTTTTCAGCAATAGATTCATGGCATCAGAATTTGTGGCAAATAATGGCCGACACTAACCAGAAATGTGGATTTCTCGAGCGACTGATTCGGGCAAGGGAATCATGGCAAATGATTAGTTACCTGCACGTCGTATAATACTGTTTTAAATCATTGTTGATTAGCAAAAGAACTGGCAAGGAACTAGAAGTGCTAAACTTTTCCGATAGAGAAAATAGTTCTTTGTGTAATAAAAACCGTAATGCTTATGCTATAAAAGTTATTCGCATCTCAGTTTCGTATGCTACTCTGAGAACTATCAAAATTACTAATGGAATCTCTTCAATAATTTATCTTTAAGGAATAATCTAGAAAATAAAAAGTGTGCTAAACTTATCCCCTTCAGTTTAATACACAAGTTAACTAATATATTGGATTATTATATTTAGATGGCATCGTTTCGGATTTTTTTGAAGCCGAACAGAGAAAACCTCAAGCCTAACTCAGCCGTATAGAATCAATCGACTTTTTAAAAACTTCGAGCCGAACCGCGCCCATTCCTGATAGGCTTAGAGTAGAGTAAAAACAAACTATCTACACTGGTATGGTTCTTAATGATCTAAACGTAGGCCACAATGGGAGAATTTTGGTCTGCTGTCTGACGGCTTATAAGCAACACAGCAGTTTTCTTTAGAGTTTTTCAAAAAATCATTTTGTTTTCTTATCCTGCAAACAGTTCTTAGTTTCATTTCAGTTTTACCCAATACATCGTTACTAGGGGTGTGAGTGTGGGTGTGAACGTGTCCTGCATCTACACCCACGCGCACACCCTCACACTCGCCCATCCTCATCCACACTAACATTCACATCTGCTTGCTGGCTTATGAACCTTTTAAATCTTTACTTATTGTCATATCGATACCCTTACTGGGAGCTGTCTGGGCAGTACGATAAAAACTATAATATCAAAGTTCATGGTGCAGATTTTTCGAATTAATATCCGGATTAGCAATTTTAAACTCTGAGAGACATTGCAACGTTTTGTCCGCGGTGTTTTGTCCACGACGTTTTGTCCGCAACGATGTGCCCACGACCATTTGTCCTGCAATCATTTGTCCAATGCGGCATTTTGTTCGCGCCGTTTTGTCTCGCGACCATCTGTCCGGTCACCTTCAGAATTAGAGGGTACACTGTAGTAGAATAGAATTGTCCTAGAAAATAAGCAAGATCTCACACGTTCCATTTGGTATGGGTCATACTCTCAACACTTGAGTTAGTTTTTCTTGTAAATAATTTTTAATATCTGGAAGATAAAATAAAACATTAAAGCAAATTTCGTCTGAAAGCTATTATTCAATTATTTGCATTGACATTGGCATGAATCTATTCTTTGAAAAGAAATAAAACTACACTTCTGTTGTATGCTTTTAAACTGCCGACTTTCTTCGAATCCATCCTACCTAGAATCTCTAGTTTACTAGTAAATATTGTATTTTAATATTGCTTGCAATATCAAGGTATGTGAGCTATGTCTATTCTTCGCTAGTTTTAATGCGTTGTTTCTATCAACACAATTAATTTCTCTCCGTTGAAACGCATTGTAAACAGTTGAAAATGTCCAAAATTACGCTTTATAAGGCGTTTCCCATAAAAACGCGCTAAAATATTTTGTTTTTATCAATTCTATCATAACGAACTTAAAGGGTGGATGCGGACATTTGGATGCTACCAAAAGATACTCACAAGATCAACACTCATCCATGCCCAGACCCATATCTCTGCATAAAAGGTCGGTCACAATAAAGTCCAAATTGTTCCTGAAAACGTGTTTAGGAACTGTCCTTAGGATCGCTGCGCCTTTGAAGGCTTTTTCAGTAAATATTGAAAAGAATAAAATCGCGATTGTAATTCTGATCGATAGATGCATACGTTTTCCCATGATAAAATTTCTGCGGTTTTGAATTGTTGATGAGCATCTTGCCAATTGATGATATGGTTGACTGTCAGTTTAATTCTGCGGCTGCTAGCACGGGTGACAGTATGGTAACTTGAAATCAGTTCTCAATAGTACTTCGGCAGGAGTTGCAAATAATGCAGTTGTTAAATATCGTAGCACATGATCTCCCCAGCGGTACTTAAATATTCCGTGAGTTGCATCTACTGCATCTGTCCAATGACGAATTTCGGATCGTCGGAAAAAGTCAACTTTTATGACGTCAAAGTTCGTATTATATAAACGTATGTGATTAGGAATATCAAATGCGCGTATAAGTCTTTTTGGATTTTTAGGAATCAGTTGGTAGTTCTGTATAATTAATGGTGAATGTTTTAAGTTTCATCAGACCAGGTAAACCATTCTCTGAATCAGCTTCTTCAACGTTACCAAAATACACCGCATTTTTTTTCCCCATCAAGTCAAAAATATCATCCCAAGCTCCTATTATTTTTGAATCCTCATCTAGTCTCATTACATATTTGTATTCAAGAACTAAGGGAATATCCATAATAAGTTTGAACCAAAATCTGCACATGTGCTGATAATTCCATTTTCCTCGTTTCATCCAGTTTGGCTCTTCTAGATACGGATCAAATCCTTTTGGAAACGATGTGAATGCATCATCCACGTTGTAAAATATAACTTGACGTTTAGTAACACTTGCAATAGCCTGCATATGTGCTTTGACAGGATAGTCTGTATGGAATATAACTATATCTGCAGACAGATTATCCTGAAACTGTATATCGAGCAAAGATATTTTAGGCACTAGTTTCTGTACTTGATCACTGTATAAGAAAGCTATTGCATTTTTTCTGACTTTCACTGTTGGATTCCATGTTGACATTTGAGCTATTCGTTCAGGTTTTGGTTTACATAAAGTGTGTTCATTCCAAGAAATTCGTTTATCTGAACTTGTGAATACAAAAATGATCATTAAGATGGATAATACAACGAATGAACAAATAATGCAAGTATTAATGGATATCCGATTTTGCAGCATATGGAGACTTTCAAGAAATATAATGTAAAAAGGTCTTCATCTACAACATAAACGGAAAGGTTATCATTTACTTGAATTATTTATTTATTATGAATTCGTAAAACTCATTAAACTGAAATCAAGAGTATATTCACGTTAAAAATAATTATGACGTGTAGAATTTTTCTTAGACGCTGACAGATGTTTTATCATTGTTTTATATACAATGGTAGATATACAAATGCGCTACAAAAGCATAATAATATATCTGACTTCCCACGTTTCAGTTGGTGTGGGTGCTCTGAAAAAAAGTAACGTGTCATATGGAACCATTTATAGTTCTAGTCAAGATACTGAACCTTTTAATGTTTCGCTCGCTCATTAATAAACGATCGAGGGTTCTAGCTTGTTTACAAAACCATCTCAGATCCTCAATAGTTCCGGATGTTTGAAAAGGTTCCGCCCTGCACCATTTTTCCAAAGATGGCTCTGGCTTGAAGCAAGATAATATATTTTCGGAACGTGATTTAAGTAATACAAGTCTCAAATAGGTTACCGAGATCGAGGATTCCGAATCCGTTATCATTTTTTCGATCCAAGCTCCCATTGGTCAGAAATAGGGTCCATAACAAAATCGAGAACTGTAAAACTAGACTTTGTATTTCAACTCCAGTCTCAATTCTGATTGAAGTTTGAAATAAGTTATCGAGATCCAGGAATCCGAATCCGGCATCATCGATGCCGAGTCTGAGGATCCGAGTCGGATTGATGGATATGGGTAGGTGCGTCTTAACAATCAATTTTATGGTAAGTTATAACTTATAAAATGCGCTTATTATTTTATCTATTTTCATATATCACAATTATCAATAGAAAGTAATGTCAATCTGGTAAAATGAAGTCAATATGTTCTTTATTTAGGTATGTAGCAATAATCAATTGAAATGCAAGTTCAGTATGATAAAATGAATTAGTGTTTTTTTCTATTTAGGTATATGTGAATAATTGATCTCATGGTAAGTTCAATATTACAGTATCAATCACTCCTCTTGTTTTTTTTTATTTAGGATCGTTTCAACAACGAGTAACGGCAATTCCCCCTTCCGCGCGAATAAAGAAGAGAGGGCTGGCTCGTATTCTGCCCACAACAAATACAGGTAAATACAACACATACGATTTAGCGATTTAGCATAGAAATGAGGGTTAAGGTTAGAATTTAAGTTAAGGATAGAAATATTGGTTAAGGCTAGGAATAAGGGATTAAGTATGAAATTAACGGTTGGATAAAACATTAGTCTAGAATACTAGACTAATTGAATGTGGTGCTCTGAAAAAAATAAAGGAGGTTTACAGAACCCTCCGAAAAGGTTCTGCAGATTTTCAAAATGCTCCGAATGTGTTCAAAGTCTCAAAAAAAGGATAAAAATTTTGACAGAATCTTTTGAAGGTTCTGCGTTTTACCCAAGTGCAGAACCATCTCTTACAGAACCTTTTTTTGCTGTACAGTACCGAAAAAAAGGTTCTGTCAAAATTTTTATCCTTTTTTTGAGACTTTGAACACATTTGGAGCATTTTGAAAATCTGCAGAACATTTTCGGAGGGTTCTGTAAACCTCCTTTATTTTTTTCAGAGTGGACTACATTTTACTACTATGGAACCATTTTTGGGAGAAATAGGAAAAAGTTCCAGCTAGAACCAGATTTTGCATGAACCTTAAATGGTTCTGAAAATGGTACCCAACTCTCGAACCCTAAAAAGTACAGTATGACACCTTTTTTTCTTTCTGAGTATATCAGCTAATAAAAAAATAAAAAAATGAAAAATGAAATAATAATAAAAACTGTGAAATACTTTCGGAAACGGGAATAAGAGAACGGGAACAATTTTTTTCTTTCACGGGAATGAGAACGGGAAACAAGAATCAAAAAGAGTCATTCCCGTAGCACTCTACCGGAAGCACTGAAAAAGGTCGGACAGCCGAAACGATCGAGATCACAACTACTATGATGATCGCTACATTTTCCTAAGCTATTATTTCTTCGGTTATTGCGAAGATAAGTAATACCAACGGGGAACAATCGTTACGTCAGTTTATTGACGAAGTGGTTCTTACCTGACAAACAATCTACAGTATTTGAAACATTGTCAACGAGCACAATTCCCACAAATACCATACACTACACATTGACATCTGTGAAAGTTTCGATATACCCGTTTGTCAGTAGAGCTAAGCAAACGCGTTCAATAAATAATCTATATAATTATGATATTCAACCATAACGTGATACTCTCTAGACGAACCATCCTTAGTATCAGAAACAAAAAATATTGCGAATGATTCAAAAGAATCGATGCTCGAAAGTTTTCGGTTTTCACTATCTTACTGTCTGTGCTGAAGGATCATCCTGGCTGTTAATGCACGAGGTCATTTTCTCTTACTAAGAAAATGGCATCGCTCCACGTTCTCACAAACTCACTAAGCTAAAACCTTGAAAAGCGTGTGAACTCACTTCATCAATCTTTTATAGCTCCTTAGCATTTGTTTGCCGGAAACGTGTCAGCCCATTGACAGATACTGGATGCGACGTTGTATTGGTTCAAGTGTAATCCAAGCTCTATCCAACCAATAAATAGCAGTGAAAAGCGATCGCCGAAGCGGATTCTTCATAGTTGTTACGCAGCGTTTGCGTGCTCGGATGCTGCTACTCGTTTATCGAGACAGGATGGCCTTACTATTAGATAGAACAGATCATTTGAAGTTACCGATGTGTTTTTGTTTGTCGGTAATATGTAAATACGGAAGGTTTTCGTATCCTAACGCTTTTCGCAGCAGCATCCCTTTCTTGTTCACATATGTCAAGCAAACTCAACCATTCAGTGGCACGCGGTGGTTTCACCCATAGAAAGCACAGTCTGTTCTGTATCGATTGATGCATCCCTCCATGGAAAAACATTCATAAAAAGAACAGCCGATAACGGGTTTTTCAAATAATGAAGCCCATTTTGAAGCCGATTTGGCTTCTTTTTCAACGCGTTATTTACACACTTTTATCGTTCTTTAGAAACACGCTCCACAATTATGAGAACACGTTGCTTCCGGAGAAAAAGCATTCTGTACTTAAAAGAAAAGTAATCGAATGGAAGACGTTCGAACGCGTTCCGTAATGAAGGAGTTTTTATCGCCGATAAACGTATTCAGCAAGAACGGATAAGAATTAACTCCGAGGAAAAATAAACCCAGTCTCTCAAGACGAACTGGTTCAAATTAAATGCGCTTATCGGCGATAAAAACTCCTTCATTACGGAACGCGTTCGAACGTCTTCCATCCGATTGCTTTTCTTTTACACACAGAATGCTGTTACTACGGAAACAAGGCGTCCTCATAATTGCGGAGCGTGTTTCTAAAGAACGATAAAAGTGTGTAAAGAACGTGCTGAAAAAAAAGCCAAATCGACTTCAGAATGCGCTTTATTATTTGAGAAATGCGTTATCGACTGTTCTTTTTACGAACTTTTTCTCCGTGGGTAGAAGTAAAATAAAGTTAACACTGATAAAGTGAAAGCTGTAGCGAAAAGCGAGCGTCGTCATAAAGTAACTTCTTCAGAAAAAGAGAGCATTGTGAGATAATTTTGTGCGCACTTTTATAAATATGCGGGGTTCTTTAGTGCTACTGTATGAAAAAAGATAAGTAAGTCATTTATCTTTAAAAATTATAGATGAAGTGAAGTGACGAGGGATTCTTCAACGTAGGATAACTTTTTTGAGAATTCGAGAAAAACGTTGATCCTGATTGCATTAATCAGAGAATCAATATTGAATCCGGAGCTTTTTAGTCATATTTATTGTGTATTTTCTCACAAGTTAGATTCTGGCGTCTGAGGCCTGCCTAGGGACCTGTAATTTCAGTGTAAATACTGACACTGAATTCACCGACGCACTGAACACTGCTCGCAAGCCGCACTGCACTCACGCCACTGTCACTGAAATTAAACTGGCATGAAAAATCACTGATACACTGCCGCTTGCTGCGACACAGTGCTTCACTGGCCATTGACTACACTGATATCTGCTTTCTCTGAAAGTCTTTCAGTGAAACATTGACAAACCGACGCCGATTTTAATTAACTAGAATTTATATACAGAATATTATGACATCCCGATTGAAAAATATGAACGCATTTAAAGTTTTGATTCAATGAAAGCACCTCAGCTTAATAGTTTCTCTTCTTTTCTTATATATGATTTTATTCAACTTGAAATTCGGTTTATTCTGTATATGCATTCTAGTTAGTAAAATTCAGCGTCGATTTGTCGGTGTTTCACTGAAAGTCTGTTGGTGTGAATCTACGTAGCTTCTCACAAGCGATACTTTTTAATTAAGTATATAGATATTGATAACTGTCTATAGCTATTTAAACTGCCATGACTATTCAAAGCGCCATACCTATTTAAATTACACAGCTATTTAAAATTGCCAAAGCTATTTAAACTGTCATAGCTATTTAATCCATGTTGATGTACACTTTAGTTTATCTAACAATTTTATGTCAACTACTTTGAGGGCATCTTAAAACTTCAATCCCTAAACTTTTCAAGACAGTTAAAGATTTCTTTAAGATTCCCAGTCATTGATGAAATTTCTCTTCCAAAAGCTAGTTTCTTTAAATAGTTACAACTCTTTAGTACTGAGCATTAAAAAGCTATCACGCAAAGGTGAAGAAATCTTTAAAACAATACATCGAGGTTGACGAAGAATCATCGATAAAACTACAAAATCAAAGGAAAAGCATAGCTTGGGAAATCTGTTAACAGCGCGAATTCTCAGATCGAAAATTACTGCATAGAAATATTAAAAGCCTCAAAATGCTACATTATTTACAATATTAATTTAGACAATTACCCAATTTTTTTCCAAATCCTGCTCTTCCTGTTTTTTGAGAGCAAGATTTTAATG